ATCTTATATGACTCTGTAAATCTTTCCCACAATAAAAGAGGTAGGCCAAAGACACATCGTAAGACCTAGCTGTAAGAAAGCGGTGCCGGAAACAGGGCCGACCATTTCCCTCATGTTTCCCGGTGAGGTATGAGAGAGTGTTCTCTCTGGCTGTGCAGCCGGCCTATGCTCCACTGAGCCTGACCGCCATCAACACCCCCGAGAAACCCCGTCCTAATTGCTCATTCAGCCTGACAGAATCTCCTTAATTACAAACTTCATTAGCCTGCAGGACTTTGTGTTTCTCCAGAAAAGGAGGGAGCAGGGGACAGCTCGGGCCAAGGTGCAGCGGAGGCAAGAGGGTGTGTGCTTTAGCACCTTATTCCTTCTTGCTTTTTTCCCCCCTCCCTTTCCTCTTTTTTCTTTTTTTTTTCAAAGGAGATGTTAAGACCTTAGCAAGAGATCTAATTAGATTCATGGTGAGAATCAGACACCTTTTAACTAGCCTCTGGAGTCCCTCTAAAAGGACAGCAAGATCCAGAGTAAGAGAGGCACAGAGAATTAAATTGACCTACTGCTGCCTTTCATGTGTGAAGTGGTCTGATTTGCCATGTCCTCACCTCCCAATACAAAATAACCTGCAGCACTAACGCTTCCCGCTACCATTATACCTTGCCTATAAACACATACGGTAGCCAGTGGGGGAAGAGGAGGACAAAAGCTGTCTCTAGCTCTTTTTGGTAATTGATCTGGGAAAGAGGCGTATTACCGTTTTTCTCGTCCGCGTTTCCCCACACGGCACCTGTTTACTCCGGCCACGTTGGAGGAAAAAGGCGGCGCGCGGCGGTGCAGACCGCCACACATCTCGTGGCTTCAAAGTCAACTGCCACTCATTTCTGTGGGTTAAATGCATTTAGAGTTCATATGTTCACACTGCTTGCAATTATATGGTGCACTGGGGAGTGTTAGCACCAGTTAGAGTCAAGTGAGGCACAGGGTGCTGATGCATAATGGAGTGCTGCACAACCGGTGATGCCGGAGAGAGGTCCTCACCGTCACTGGTCAGACTTCAAAGTCTCTGGGTGGGTGAGAAGCGAGTACTGCTTCTGGGGGAAGTAATTATTTTACTTTAAGCTTACATACACCCCACCAAGAAGTTATGCTTGTTAGTAATTAGAAGGCAGCACTTGGAAGCTCCACTTCAGGTCTTCCAGCAGTGTTAGCATCCCTCTCCTTCAATAGCTAAGCTGTGTATACTGGAGGAAGAACATTATGAGTGAATGATCAGCAAGTGTAATTTGGGTTAGTTTCTCTGTGGAGGTGCTAAGTTGTTCATTTGCCCATAATAGATGTCACATCCTGAATTACTGCCACCAATCATTTACCCCCGCCCGTCAGGCCCAGGCCGTAACTCGCGGCTGCTACGCCACCTTTATGCCTCAGATCAAATAACCGGAGCCATCCGCGTCCTCTTTTTCAGATTCTTTCAAATGCGTCGTCGTTTAAATGTCAGGCGCTTCAGCAGGCCGTACACTTCCCCACAGCGCGCTTCAAACGCATGGCCGCGTTCTTTTTTACGACGGGGAATTCTAGAACATCTGCAGCAAACGCCAGCCCCTCCACTCACATCTCCAAGCCTCATGCTTTATGTTGCTTTCATGTCTCATATCATGCTCCCGCTTAATCTCGGCCCGGGAACCCGAGGGACGCCTCGGCTTAGGTGTTTCTGCTCATCGCGACCAGGTCGGTGTTTCTTAGCCCCCACCGAGGACGTCCACCTCCAGCTTCTCCAAGCAAGCCCGCAGACTGTTTTATTGAACTGCATTTTTCCATCAGCAACACCAGAGACTGTGAAAGTTCCCACAACCGCACCCACATGCACACACACTCACACACACAGGAGAGGCACGCACAGCCCCACAGAGACCATTGTTGGCGAGTATTAGTCACGTTAAAGTCAGCATCAAGTGCCTGTAAGGCACAAGGGAGGGGGTGGACATGACACAACTAACCGGAGAGCTGGCACAGCTTTTGCACCCATGCCCCGAATAACTTTGGTGTTTGTGTGGAATGCTGTCTGGAGCTGGGGCAAGAGTTGGATCCCGCTGGTGAGCAGAAGAAACCCCACAACTTAGCCAGGATTGAATGTGGTTTAGGCAGAGAAACAAACTGAAAAGGGGAAAGTCTACACTGGAATACTAAGTGAGGAAATAACCTAATATTCCTTATTTTATGGCTAATTATAAAAGCTCAGACACCTGCGCCCAGTAAGATGCTTTTTTCATCCGTTGCAGAATGACTTCTGCAGAGTTTTCCACAAATAAATAGACTTCCTGTTTGAATAGATAGCTTCACTTAAAAAACATTATTGGTTTTCATGACTGTTGTGCCTCTGCATTGTTTTTGTCACAACCTAATTCAAACCAGTCAGACTGTCTTTTGTGTGCCCCACAAAAAGGATCATGCGGTAAAAGCTTCTATGAACTAGCTTAGGAGCTGACTTTTCTGATCCACGCAATGCATGTGTGTGCGAATTTTAAGAAATACACAGTTTTTGATTTATTTATTTTTACAGTTACCTTAAATTTGAATTGAACGAGTGAAACCGAGTAAGGGAATTTAAAGTTATGTTGCTTTATACAAGATTTTACCTTGTTTTTGTTTTTTTGTTTTTTTGCTTTGTTATGGATAAGAAAAAACTGTCCAAAAAGTATGGCACTGACTGAGGCTTTTCGGGATTCCTAATGAAGAATCCAAAGAGCAGAAGTTACATTTTAAACTCGTGTCAAAGCCTGAGTTGACTCCTGTGCTGAAAAAGAATAGGATAAAGCAACGCACCGCTCTCCATCCAAGAGCAGACAAAAAAAAAACCCTGACTAAAACCGCCGCTTCAGTATTTCATGCCGCTGCACATTTTCCAGACACTAAACACTCAACTGCTGTCAGACTCCACCGGCCGAAACTTGATATGTCATGTTTTTTGGGGGCCAGATTTTTTTTTTTTTTTCTTTTTCCTTTTCTCCCTTCAGGCCACCAAGAGGGGGAGACACAGCAGAGCTCAGGCGGGTGCACACAGAGGGCAGAAGAACAGGTGCCCATAATTTCACCTGTCTGCTGAGTAACCCCCACACTTGCAGCTACTTTACATTTCACCTCAGATCACGGCCGCGTTTTCTGCTCTCCGGGAGGGCCCCTAAAACTCCAGCTTCAGATGTTGGCTCATTAAACTGGTCCTGAGCACATCTTGACACGGGGTAGGAGGGGGGGGGGCGAAGGACTCTGTTGCTTTACCGGGCCGAGACACGAGAGCCGTGCGGTTTTGAGCGGGTTATGTCCCGGGTCAGCCCACGGCGGGTCAAAGCGGGCCGCCGGACCCGGCCTTTGTCATCCAAAGTACCTGAGCGCCACGACCGCTGTCCGGAAAACAGATCAGCGGCGACGAGGAGGGAGGGGAGGCCCAGGTCAAGAGAGTCACAACGGTTCAGCAGGCACATGTGATATATTTAGTGAGGCCGTTGTTTGTTTTATTTAGAGAGCGAATTGAGGATTTTCCAAACTGCTGGGCCCCTGAGGTATTTTATCAGGTGTACAGTCCGCCATATGCTACGCATTAGTGTGCTGAGGGGAACGCGGGTTGCAGATACAACCTATAAAATGTTTGGAGGTTGGAACTTCTGAGGACGGGGTGGGGAGAGGGGGGGTTCGGCGGGGGGGGGGGGGGGGTCGGCAATTGCTCTCATCAGAGCCTGGATACGTGGGAAACACTTATATGCAAATGAAACTGCAGCAAATTACAGCCCCAAATTGCCCCAGTATCATTAAAGAAAATAAACACAAGGAATCTCCGGGATTGCAGTCGGCCATAGGAATATTAATGCGGCAATATATATATATATATATGTTTTCTGTTTCTGGCAATGGACGAAGAAGAAGAAGAAAAATTGGCTAATAAAGGCCCTAAACTCTCTGAGGCCTCCAAAAAAGCTGAGTTGGGCTGTGTGGTAAGCGCAGGGAGCCGGGCCAGGTTCAGGCAGATGCTGGAGGTGTCTGAAAGCTGCACGGCGGGGGCCAGGGGCAAGGAAAGAGAGAGGTGGGGGGGGGGGGGGGGGGGGGGGAAGGTTGTCGCGACGGAAAGGAGATGTGGATAGGTGAAAAAAAAAAAAGTTTTGTGTTTCTGATGAATATTTCATCATGAGATGCCCATTTGTCTCGTAGAGGTGTCTGACCCCTCTTGGTCGTATGAAGTCCGTGTCGCGACCTCAGCCAGGGGAGCACGGAAACCTCCAGAGTGAAACTCCTCATGGGTGTGACAGAGCAGCTTGTAATGTGGCTCTTGGCTTCTTTCATCCATTAACAATCGCATGTGAGTGCCAGACTCTCCTTGTGAGATGTAACCCTGCTCTGAATGCATTCAATCTGAGGGGATTTTTTAAAAAGAAGACACCATACCCCAAATCGTTTCAGTACACAGTTAAAAAAAATATGTAAGATTAATAAACCCAGTCGGTTTAAGCGTTTACTTTCTTTTTGTGCGTCCGTGAACGCAGCATTGCCTTTAAGACCCCCCTCTGAGCTCCCCGGTTACCGTACATTTCAACGCCCCAACTTTAGAATCTAATTTGGAACTATTTCCGAATCCAGATAACAGGATCAGGAGTTATTTCAGCGGCTGCGCAGTTATTTTGACGCCAAAGGAAATTTCGGCGCGCGTGTTACAGTCAGTGCGCGCGCCGACTGGAGCCCATGGCAAATGTGGAAGATGCTGCGTTTGGAAAACATAATCATGCGAGCACATCGCGGCCCCTCCCCTCGTTATTAATAATAAAGAAAAGAAACGGAATCCGAGGCCGGGATGTTTAATTTATTATTATGTAAGCTATTTGGAGAGTGATTGTATGGTAATTGCTCATTAGTCTTGTATATTTATCGCTGCACCTTATGTCAAGGCCAGAGGAATTGTGTAGGGCGGATTCTCCCCTTTCAAGGATCCATTTCAGAGCCAATTTGTGAAACAGGACGGATCAGGTTAGGCCTGACGTGGCTCCATGGCAGGGTCGGCCCGCAGGTGCCACCTCACAGACGCGCGCTGGGGCCTGATGAGACGGCCTCTGGAATAGAACCAAAAAAAAAAGGGCTCCGTGCGCAGACATGTTGACAAATTATCTAAAGCCATCCTTTCAAAAGCCACTTCTCCCAACTTAAGAGATTCCAGCGCGATCAATTATTGACTTTGCGCACTGATAGCGAGCCTGTCCTCCGTCGGCCACTGCTCGCATCCCTGGTGTCAGCGGACGTAATTATGGCTGCTAATTGCAGATTAGAGGGGTTCGGGTCAGTGGGGGTCACTTGATAGGGCCGACTCCTCTTTTCAGTGACGGATCGTCATTTCACGTCGCAGATTAAATGTTAAATGCCAGGTCCAAAATGTCAAAACGGGTTGGGAAGATTTGAAGGAATGATCGAACTCGAGTTGGTTGCTTGGGGGAGGTTTGGGTGAACGAGTGGAGTGGTTTGAGTTTAGATATGTGGATCCCCAGCAGTCCCCAAAGTTGGTCATAAACGTCCAATACGAGCGTCCGGGAAAAGGTTCTGATGTGAGGGCCTACCACACACACACACACACATTTGAATTCCGCCAAATCCCAATTATATTCATTCTATTTCCTGGTCTGAAATTGCTTTTGAGCGTCATCCTATAAATTCTGGTATTAAAAAAAACAACATCTGAATATTAGACATGCGTATTTTTCTGTAATTGTTTTTTTGGTTTTTAGCCGTCGTCCACTGATTTTATTTGGAAAAACTGTTATTCCCTATGTCGGCGTTTGAGTGTTAAAATTGTGGGGGAAAAACGCCATACTTAACTTTCCCATTTTAATCTAAAAAAATATGGGTAAAATTTACATTTCACTTTGGAAAAATCCAAACTTGACAGCGAAAAAATCGGAACTCATCTTATTTTTTCACCCCAAAAGATATGTTTTAAGGTGAATCTGGATTTAATTGAATCGTGGCTCTAATGAGAAGCCCGTCCTGTCTCCTGTGTGTCCAAACAGGCGCACACAGGGTGCGAATAAGGGGGGGGTGGGCAGAGTGTGCGCCAAATTTGTTTGCGGCGGATCAAGGCTCACCGCCTCCACTGCACTTTCTTTATCTTAATTCCAACTTGAAAAGATATAATTATCTAGTTTGAACAGGACTGCTATCAAATCCTTCTTTATAGGCAGGGTAGGGAAAAGCTCGAGTGGATTGTGAAGCTCTGAGCCGCTCGGTGTTGCCCGAGATAGGAGTAATGAAGTTGTGGAGTCCGGAGATACAAAGGGCATTAACCTCATTAGCATGAAACCTTTTCTTCTAACTATTGTGGGACTCTTTCAGTCCTCTAATCCCCCCTATTTCAAAGCAGGGTTTGTAATAAAGCTTTTAGTTTTTTTCCCCCTCTTCTTCTTTTTTTCCAAAGCTGGTATTCTCTCTAGATTTTTATTGCTGTTATAATCTAGCAACCCCAAAACACATACACCTCTCGTTTAAAAAATAAAAGGAGTTTGGTTTGTTTTGAAGTCATTATTTTTTTCCCTTTAAATCATAACCAATTTAGAATTCTTTTCCAGCTCTGGCTTGCAGTATGCGTCGTTTTGTTTGTGTGCTAATGCATAATTTCCTGCTATAAACCGCATCTTTTTTTTTTATCGTTTGTTTGTTTTTGTGAGCGTCACGGGCCCCAATAATATTAAAAAGAATAAACAGAAGAAGCAGTCCGGTAATATTCCCGTCCAGTCCAGAGCAGCACCACGGCGGAGCCCACCAGATTGGGAACAAAGATCCCATTTTGCGGCGCATTGCAACCTTCCCTTATCGCGTCGTGAGGGGTAGTCAGATTGTACTAAATTATGTCCAACCAAGCCCCTTTGGATCCGTGGATTAAGAGATTAAAGTGGACCACTGGGCAACGCACCCCCTCAGCACACACACACACACACACACAC